ACTAGTATATAGGTACTTTGTGTCGTTTCCCGCTGCTCTTAATTTCTGCCATTCTCACACCGAACCTAACCTAACTAACTTTCCCGCGTTTTACACGCTGTTTATTTTATATTTTACACGTAGAGTAATGGAAACTATAAACAGCACTTTACAATGAAAAGAAGCTGAACACATTATATTAAGAAATTGATGGTAAAATGAAGTCAAAAGACATGTAAAGGATAAGTTTTTCAGTTTTTTATGCAAGGTCTATGAAACCGTGTTGATGAAATTGAAACAATTGTGTATATTTATATATGTATACAGATATAATCACTTGTACCACTTTTAAAAACGATTGATGCTGATAACAAAAATCAAGCTCGACAAGAGGGGTACGTAAAATACTACGAATTTTCCACGTAACAGCCATGAAACAACGTGTTCGTGAAAACAATTGTATTTACATATGCAAATGTAACGACTGTTATCGTTGTTAGAAGCGACTGATGTTGATAGGAAAAATCGAGCTTGATAAGAGGTACACAAAAAATAATTCAAATTCTTCACATGAAGAACAACGAACAGAAATAACTGTGAACTTACTTCATCAGGCAAACGGACAATCTCGAGTTTCAAAGAAACCTTTCCTTCCCGCATACACTCTCCATTCACACATCTGGCATATCATGTTTCCGAAATTCACGGCTTCACTTGAATCATTTTATTCAAATACACTATACAATCGTTCATTTACAGGCGACAATAAACTATATATCGTTAATGTAAACCTGACAAGGTTAAAAATCAACGTTGCACGTTGACGTTTGAGGTTAGAATCGACAGGTAGCAGTAGTGGTAGCACCGGCAGCACGCATGCGCGATATACCGAATGTACATCACGCACCTAACTTCAATATCCTTCCCACCGCGTATTTCAACTTTCGTTATTTAAGTGAACATCTTATCTAATTATTTCAGATACCCATTTATGGATAAATTATTAACAACCATGGAGCATTTTTCATTTTCTTTTTTTCAATTGATTCATTGAGATTCTATTATTCATACAAGTGTTATTTTAAAATAAAGTTTTAATGAGTCTCATGTTAATTCAACTAGATAATGTCGTACGTAGAACACATATGAGGAAACCGATTCTCCAGAAAGGAAACGAAATTGTCAGATTCTCCCACCCATTGTGTTTACTCGTTCACGTGAGCATCATGGAGGTGTTTCTACAAACGATGAGTTAACTCGTTTTCCGGGTAGAATTAAACGAACACGCGTAGCTTTAATTATATATGTATATCGTACGCACCGCGCGCGCGAAGTGCGCTGTGAAACGTGACCGTGTTATGGAGTATTCACACTTGCCGTAAGGATCACAACGTATAAAAATCTGACGTACCACCTAACGAAATTTTGATTTCGGAAGACGCCTTCGCCGTTAGTATAAAATTCAAGATATAGGGAAAAACATGTAAAAGAGCATGGGTACCTCAGAAGGGACTGACAACATTTTGCCTAGAAGAGTGCGAGCGTAGACGAGAAGTATGGGTCAACCACCTGCTGTGTACCTTCGAGCTGCTAGGCCTTTTTTTATTGCCGACCCCATAAGTGTCAGGTCAATTCGTACGTAATTTGGAAATATAGTAAACGACGATGTTTTCTCAGTAAAGTATCCGATACAACAATACATACTGATGTTTAACAAGTTTATTTGAAAAGAAACTAGTACAATTTGTTATACATAAAACAGATTTGAACGCTATGGATGTTGTAATTCGCATCAAGATGGTATATAGCATTTTCAGTTGTTAAACATTTTTATCGATTACAGACAATACGTAAGTAGAAATTAATACGTGGGCGGGATCAAGAGTGAAAGCTCTTGAAAGAAGAGAGATATCATTGGTGAATAGGGATTAACTGCCCTAAATATTGATAATACTACTCCTCAATCAACATTGGTTCAATCGTAGCTTACGATATTTCCAAATTACGTACGGATTGCTCTGACAAAACTAACGAGGTCGGCAATAGAAAAAGGTCTAGCAGCTATACGAAGTTGCACAGCGGGTGGTAGACCGATACTTTTCGTCCACGCTCGCAATCGCCTCGGGAAGGTTTCGTCGGTCCCGTCTGAGGCACCTAGGCTTTTATTTGCTTCTCCCTGTACCTTGAACTTTCTTTTACAGCACTGTATCTTACGGCAGAGACGACTTTTAAACTCAAAATTTCTCCGGATGATACATAAGGTTTTTTACAGTCCTTACGGTAAGTACGTCCATTAAGGACATACAACTTAAGACAATACTTTTCGATTCCTTTTATATTAAGGAAGCTGATTTCCACTTGTTCCTTCATTTCAAAATGTATGTTTCTTTATATATCGTTTTAAGAATGTAAAACAATATTAATGTAGAATTGAGTTTTACAATTTATTTGTGGACAATAATAGAAAATCTGATAGTAATTGAGGATTGAAAACGTGAGGCATATACATATAGGTTTAATACTATATTCGGGTCTTGTTCCTATAAGGGAAACTAGTACAATCGAAAACGGTCAAGAATCATTACCCCAAGCTGTACATACACGTATTTGTATAATGTGTACGTACACGAACGCGAAAGCATATTACACACACAGATGGACACAGGTAAGAATACAACTTACCTGTGCAGCTGTACTGGAGTTGATCTCGCGGGTAAATGCTGGTTATGCGAGACCGGTGGTTGGTTCTGACCCCTGCCAGGGGTCGACGTTACGCCGACCAACGAGTGACCATGGGACGTAAGAGGATGACCATGGGGGTGGGCGTGTGGGAGCGGAGGATGGGAGAGGGAGTGAGGATGATGATGGTGATGCAAATCTCCCCCCACTGGACCCACAGGGCCCACCGGACCCCCCACCCCCAGCCCGCTCACTATCTGGACTTGCTTGCCCACTGTCTCCATCACCCCTAGCGCATTGTGTACTGAAACAAATTCGACAAACATTTATTAGAAACTTGCCCCTTCCATGCTGCCCGAAATTTCCATCAAGCCACTTCCATTTTCATGCATATTTTAAATGTACTTCCAAAAAGATATCACACTTTTCAAGTGCCTGTTCCTCGCACCTCAATCGTGTAAAAAATGGCGAATAAGGTGAATGCCGCAATTTCTATTCATTGGCTCATTTCTCTATAATTTTAGATGTTACTTACAATTATAAAACAATTGGTGAGCGAGTAGAAATTGGGACATTTACCTTAGTCATAAGAAGAATTCATAGAAATTCAATCTATTCTCTCCTCTCAGATTTTTTGTATCTTATCTTTTGTTTCTAATTTTTAGTTTAATTCGCTTCTAGTTTTAATTCGTAGTCAACATTTTACATTCTTTTTTAATCAAGCATTCAAATCGAACTTTTTATAAGAAATAGAGTTTTCACCTTTTAATAAATCAAATAATTATACCATGAATCACTTAAAAGATTAGTTCGAGACTTCCTAATAATCAGTATGAGTCATATGTACAAGAATAATAATCTGGTAATTAAAATCACGTTTGAATAATAATACATAGATAAAAAGATTTATGCGAGTAACGCCCATACTGCTGACAAACAATCAATATTTTGGTTCTATGTATCTAACATATGTGATAGATGGACTGCAGATTTTTACCCATTTATAAGAGATACGAGTGTGTTAAAATTTAAGTATTGCACATAATGAGTGCAGTGCAAAGTGAGTAAAGTGCAAAGATATATAAAACATTAAAAGTAATAGTAATATATACGTTATGATGTTCAATGAATAAAAGCAAAGCATATTTAAAATTCATTCTCCAACATTACTTATTTTGCATAAAAATTCATAGTTCAGTGATAGTAGTAGTATGAGTACAAAGACACTCTGTTACAAAATCGTACAAGAACTGTTAACAATGATGTAAATTTTTACTTTAATAATTGCAACTGCGAAAATGTATGTTTAAAATATTCACTGTACGTTAGAAAGAAGAAATATTCTTTATTTCTATAGTAAATCATAATATGACAGATTATATATTCTGTTTTTATGTTTCATAAAACGTGTATTGTTGATGCACTGTGAGCAGATAAAAAGTAAGGTCATGAGAACACTACACATTAGAAAGTACGGCGGTACACATCAAGCAAGACAATGCCATTATTGGGTTTATGATGGGAGCATACAACGCTCAGATCATTAGTTTTATGCAAACTTTATAATAACTCATACCGGAATCCATTAAACATATAACACTGAATGCGGATATGGATAATAAAGTTCAATATTTTGTAAAAAAAAAACAAGGAGCAGTCAGCCACTGCAACTATTAAATTTTTTTCTCAATATTTGCAAAATTTCATCATCAGAAGCTGAAATAACAACGTTCAATACGATGACGAATAGTTAACAGTGCATAAATAATTGATAAAGTAGGTAGGAAGATTATTATTCGTACGTGAAAAAACTTGGAATCAGCGAGTACGAATGATCGCCCTGTGTCATCCTTAAAAAGAAGAAAAAAGCTCGCAAGGACGTCACCGGTAGGTATCATCAAAGTAACGGTACTGGAATGACTCTCAACGAGAAGCGAACCGAACGTGTGTACAGAAACGGCTCGAGGAATTAACAGGCTAGCTGAACATTTAAAAAGCCTTAAATTTGATAACTAATAATGCAACATCCATTTCTCAAATATATTTTTTCATCTAACTAATACCGATACCGATTTAATTTGCAAATATAAAATTTTTTGTTTCATAACTTATACCAGGAACCTAATGAAGCGATCTGCTTTAAATCTGGACAATTTCAGAGTTTACTTTGTATAAAATACTATTGAGAAAGTGAATAAATTTATAAATTATGACAACTGCCAATGTTATATTTGTTATAACACGTCTAAGACTACTTCAAAAAAGATCGTAAAAACGTGTTTACTATATATTATATACTGCACGATTATTATCATTACATAAAGTGTCACACTTATCACTGATAAACAGCACATTTTTAAGCATAGAATAGAATTACATACTCTGCTTTCCTAAATTCTTACTTAATTGAAGAGAAAAGGGATTTGAGAACGAATAAATAACTCCCTCTTTATCCTGACGTTCTTTAGAAAAAAAAGCATAGTCACTATGTATCCTATTTCCTGAATGATATAAAAATTCTACCTCTGAAAATATTCTATCGCTGTCTTACATTAACTGCATTCACAGTTTCATGAGCCTTACAAAGTACGTAACTTTGAACATAAAATACACACTATATAATGAGATCATCAACTTGGGTCATCGGTAATCTACGCAGCGTGAACGAGAAGTCATAGAAAATCAATACGGTATATGTATAACGCGTTCTGAAATGTATGTATAAAACTAGAGATTCTTGAGCAACATGTTTTCTTTCATACTTTCTTTATTTCTATCGTCGAGCTTTGCTACATCTCGGAACCGATATTCAAGAAATGATTTCTCAAAATAAAAAGCGTACGTTTGCACTATATTAACCCTTACTGTTGGTCGTTGGCGTCCAGGCAAAATCTACGTCAGAACATTGCTTTGTTTATGAAAAAATTGTTGACAAATTTATTTTTCTGAAATATTTCGATTTCTTTATAAAGTAAAAAGTAGAATGGTATTGTCTGAATTTTTTCTATCTATATAGAGAATATAGAGAAAACACGTTGAACACAAACGACTAACCTTAACCAATTAGGCTGCCGAAAAAACAGTCTACGCAGTAATTGTCAATAATTAAGTGAACGTTTCAAGGAAGGAAACCGAGAGAAGTTTCTAACTGTCCGTTTATACTTATACTATATTTGCTGGAAACGGAAAAACTTACCGGTAATGACGTCAGCTGTGGAAGGTAAGCCGGGTCTCGAATTTCCTCCACAAGTAGTCGATCCGATGCGCGAATAATTCACCGCTTCAGTCTCGAGTGAAAATCACGTACATGTGCGCGCGCGGTCACGCACACATGCGTACGCGTGCACATATGTGAGTATAACACCCGATCTATTTATAAATTCTATATCGATCTTTTTTGTAAAAAAAAAACTTTTACGAATACACGGTACTCCACATGTTATATTGTACGTTGCGCGAGCTTTTCTCTCTCCCTCGTCTTCTCTCTTTTTCACAGGCTATATCCTTTTTCGCGAACCTCTTTCTTTTTTTTTATCATTTCTCTCTTGCTCGTCACCCACTACTCACTGTCTTCTCTTCATATCTTCCTTGTCGGGCGTTTTCCGTTCGTCTTCACGTTACCTTACTTTTCTACACTTTATTTCCTCTTCCTTGTAACCAACGTACACTAACATGCGTTCCACACGAATCGGTATTATCTCGGTACACTCGCAACACGACTTAAAACCGATCTTTTCGAATTTCTTTCCTGCGGTCTGGCGCCAGGGACGATTTCTGCGGATAACAGTTGAAGAAAAGATTGTAATTAGTATTTGCTACTTCGGTATCACTGTTTAATCGAATGTGGACGTGTGCGCGTTTTAGGAGATCCCAAAATGAATAATATCATATACGTATATACGCAATCGGTTTGCAATTTAATTGGAAGCACAGTGGATCCTCTCATATCATAATTCTGATACTCAAATCTCGGTTTCGATTAATCTTAAGAAAATCCATTAAATACAGAGTCTCAAACTGATTTACTATGAGAACAAAAAATACAAGCTTGGGATAAGAGAGATTCTACTGTATTTTTAGAGCAGTGAAATGTTTCACTTTTATGGTGAACTTGTATGAAGTTGAAATAGGATACTTGTCAGTGAGTGTACAAATTGGAATCGCGACTGGAACGTGTCGTCGAAGCGGATTGCGTGACTCGAGCACCGAGTGTCTCAGTACACATGTATTTAGGAAAGTATACCTTGATAATCGTAGGGTAACGCGACGCGGCTTCGACACGACCAATTCTCGTTCGCATTATCCTCCTGTTAACGTTTTAATCGCGTGTTTAATGAACGTCTCAAGTGAAATTAAGGAAGGACCTTTCGTCGTGTGAAAGAAAGTAAACGACGAAAAGTGTATCGAGGGAAACAGATAAAAGAGACAGGGGATGAGGTGAAACTAAAATAAACGGGAAAGGGGAGGGGGAAGAGGAGAAAAAAGATATCGCGATTGCCGTCGCGTCGCTAATCTTCTTTCTTTTTTAACCGACTGACCCTATCACCGATTAGGCGGAGCACGTTGCACTCCAGTTGTTCTCACAACTTCCGGTTCAGCTGTTCGCGCAAAGGTCCACATATCTTTTACTGCCCCGCACTCCGCGAGAGTCCTCTCTTTTCGTGTTCGGCTTTCTCTTCCTTTACTAGCACCCGTGATCACATCTCGTGGAAACGCGATCGCTCGGCAATCTCGTCAGTGCCACGTGGCTGCTGCTGTTCGCACTCGAAACGCGCACAATATTCCACACGCGAACGCCGCTCGTCGCCGAAACCATTGTCAATCCTCGCTTCGTTACCGTTGTTACTGTTATTATTATCACTGTTACCGACGTTGCCACGGTACCTGTTATCACTCTCGCGATGATGCAAAGTTATCGGCAGACTCGCTTTCACCGCGCAGTCTTATTGCGCGCACTCGATCGACCGTTATCCCGCGATGTTCCACCCGAGCCGAGGTGTAGCCGTCGTCGCCGGGCACAGTGCGTCCACACGCACTGTGCACGCTTCTCGTGCACGTGAGCTGGTACCCGCCGACCAAAAGAAATTGGACGTCTTTCAAGATGGCAGAATGGAGAACGCACACATATGCAAGAGACAAGTCACAGCTCGAGGGACGAGTTCGCGAGGCACGATGATCACATGCACATTCCTGAAGGGGGTTTGACGCACGACCGATCGCGTGAAAGATAATCGGATCGACGGCCGAACGACGTTCTTTTCTTTCTCAACGTTTACGCCATTCGATCGCTTCTTTCACCGCTGCCACTTCCGCTGCTACTCTTCTTTTTCTTCTGATTCTTCAATCTCGTTTGTATACTGAGTTTCGTTTCCATCCGACTTCCGGTGAAAATCCTCAGGTCGGCGAGGAATCGGTTGCCACGTTTCCTCTCTTCGGTTAATGCACCGCGACCGCGACTTTCGAACTGTCACGCAAGTTGCATGTACTCCGTAATTATTTCACTGGACACTTCGTCCTCGTTCCCTCGGTTACGGTGCTAACGGTAGCAGCAGCACTAACAGCACGGCAGTGTTCCTGTAAACAAACAATTGATCATTGATTTTTTTGTTACATACTACTTCGAAAATATAATATAAAAATAATTATGATATAAAATTAGACTGCGAATTTTTATGCAAAATAAAACTTGTAAGGTCAATTTTAAGAAGTGATATTTAGTAAGAATGTCCAATAATCCTTTAAACATCGTACTAGGCATTTGAATACTTTATGCACTTTTGTCTAGTAAACGTATGTTTTTTTTTGCGTTTCTGACGTACTCAATTTTGCTATAAACGCAATTTTATAGCAAATTTGCTAATTAACTTTTGTTTAATTTAATTTTGCAAAGTTGTTTTCTTTCTAATTTCGATATTTAATGAGTTACACATGAATATATCGCATTTTATTGATGTTGACAAAATCCGAAAGTCGAAATGGCGAACTTTCGACAAAAAATTTCGTTTTTCTTTAATAACTCCTAAATCGTTGGTCCTACGGGAAAACTGCATACGACCTTTTTTGTAGAGGACGATGAGATCTACAATTTCTGTATAAAAGTTTGACGCTAGCATTAATAGTTTACGAGTTATTGACGAAAAACGAAAAAACAGTTTTTTGCAAATTACTCGTGAACTATTGTTCTGTCATTTCATATGTTATCTAAAAATTGTAGAAAATTAAGCCAGTGAGTAGAAATTAGGACACCTACTTTACGTCCTAAGAAAACCTTCTATGAAACTAGAAAACTTTTGGTTTCTTGTTTCTAATAAAAATTGGATGCAGAATCTTTCTGCATTTATCATCGTAAATTAATATTTCAATCGTAAAGTAATATTTCAATTTTCATACTATTTTTTACAAAAAAATTTTTTTAGACTGCATATTTTCGAAGTTATTGAGGATGAGCTATAATAAAGACCCTCAAATGGATTTTATGTTACATTCACTACAATCTCATAACAAACATTGACAAAAGTAGACTATTTCTAATTACTCTTTTTGAGTACAATTACAGTATGCAGAATTTTGCGATCAAATTTAATGCATAATTACGACTACAGATTTATTACGTTACGCACACCGTTAAACAGTGACACGTATTGAATAACTTTTATATATTAAGGCGCATTAGATAATATCAATATCTCGGATAACCTTTTTATAGATCTAAAGTAAGAATAGGGGTCTTTTACCTTGCACTGTAAAGATATAGCTACGTTTCGTGAAGTATTAGCGGCGCATTTATAAGTCTTGAATTATAAAAGATTACGAAACGACGGAGATGTTCGGCCAAAAAGATGGATGAACACAAGTGCGTTACATCAAAATGCTTTCGTAATGAGATATAATGAAAGCTCGACGAGATAAATAAATTGAACAAAATAAACGATGAATAATCACTTACAAACCGAACCGTCTATTTTGCAACAAAATAATTTATGTACTTTTTAAATTAGTATTAGAAGAAATATTACTGACAAATAAAGTTGAGTATCAAAATTTTAATACATAGGAGCAGAACTTGTGAAAATATTATCTGGATATTTTATTGCGTACATGTTAATGCTTGTTAATACCTACTATTCCTGAGATGTTTTCACAACTTGATTTATGTATTAAATTCCAGCCTATAAGAAACTGAGTTTCGTATGTACGGACGTTTTATCGTAGCCAAAAGTTTGACACGCTGCTAATGTGTACACAACTGAAGGTGCAAATAGATAGAAGGATAAGAAGATAAAGAGAAATCCGAATATCAAAATTTTTATTTACGATATTCAAACACTTATTTCCGATGAAATTTCTAGAGATATATAAGTGCAAGAATATTGTAAGTACTGATTCATGAACTATACATACGTATTTACTTGGTTAAAAGGCTCAATTCGAAGAATGGTAATCTTATATAAGTTACTAAATAATTTATGAAAGAAGTAATACATATGTAAGATAAATGTCTAAATTTCCATTCACTGGCGTATTTTTCTATAATTTAAAATCTCAATCCTATATCTTAAAATTATAGAAAAACATCTGAATCCTATCAAAAGTGGAGAAAAAGGTGAATATCCCAATTTGTGTTCACATCCCAATTTCTACCCACTCGCTAATTTTGCTATAATTCTATGTATTACTTTAAATTATAGCAGAATGCGCTAGTAGAAATTGAGATTTGACCAGAAATTGGGACATTTACCTCACAAATGTATTTCTAAATTAGTATAACGGTATTCAAAATAGAATCGCGATAGAAAAGAGGAATCGCGAGAGGAATTTTATTGAAATATCGTTGTACTTGTCGGTCTTTTAAAATTCTTCAATTAGAGAACTAAGTCATCTGTATTTTAACGGTGGTCAATACTCTCGTTAGTGTAAAAAATAATCAAGTGTGTAACATCGTACGAGGCGTACAAGAATTCATTCCATTCCCGCTGAATACATTCCATCCGAATTATTATTATCTTGCTAAACCTAGAACGGTCGATAGCTCCGCAGTCGTTGTGACTCAAAGTCGAGCCGAGTCGAACCGAGAAGAGTCGAATCAAACCGAGAGAGTCGGGGGACTCGGTGTGTAGTTTTGTGGCGCGTCAACGCGTAAAAAGGGCGAGTGAGGGCGAGTGCGAGGAGATAGAGATAGATCATGCCGAATAAAAGGACAGTGTGCCTCGTCTGGGAACTTTCGCTCGTTCCTACGCTTCCCTTACTTCTAATTATGTCAAACCAACACGGCCACAAGATTTTTCCATAGGTTCAGTAAACTTCCGTTCCTAAATATTACACGGAACACGGTTATTTTTCTGTGCTTAACATTTCTTGCTTTTATCGTACACGATGATAACTACAAATTTTTACAAATTATCAAACGATAACAATTAAAGATTTCATTAAATGTTCGTGTATTTTCTTAAAATCAGGATCAAGTAAATAATGTATGTAAGTAGATCTTATAAAATTGCCGCATTCACTTGCGTTGCGTTTAGAGGCGACTATGATGCGTTCACCGCGAAAATAGGACGACACCGATACACGATACGAAATATTCTGTACGTTTCACGCACTTGAAAATAGTAAATACTATATTAACGATATTTGTACTTGTTTGAACATGCATGAGGATGCAAGTAAAATGACACTGGTCGCGTGTCTTCGTTTTAAAGACACAGATTACCATTTAAGGTCTTGAACAGTGGTTCTTGTTTCTTTCCTTGTTACGAGTTAAGTGTACGTTTTTTGCATAATGTCTTATGTTGAGTCAGACTGGGCTAGGCAATGTTGTATTTTAGTTTCAGATACGTAGAACAGAAATTATCAGCTCTTGATATATTTCCGATTTGATAAATACAACGTCATTATATAGTTGTTTAATAAAATTTAATACTGTTTTAATTAGTGTAACGTGTACTGACGCTTCTGATGTAGAAAGATTCTAAATTTATACAGATCTAATCCTATTGTATTATTCTGCATATCTTATGTTAGATTAAACTGGACGAGGCAATATTATATTCTAGTTTCAGATGCGTAAAATAGAATTGAATTGTTTCTATAATGTAAATATTGATTAGATATTGTCTTCGAGCTGATAAGAACAACGTTATTATATGTATGTATAACTGTTTGACGCAATTTAATAGTGTACTAATTAAACGTTGGTTTGACAACGCTTCAGATGTAGAGAGAATCCTAAATCTGCACAGACATAATTCTACTATGGAACTAAATAAGAGGAACATCAAAGAGAGATGCAGATAATTTCATAATGGTGAATCCCCTATGGTCATCATATACTTGTTTGGTAGAATTTAGTACTGTATTAATTAACGTAACGTTTGACGAAGCATCATAGATATACGCAAGAGATAATTCTACTGTATAAATAATATGAGGGACAGTCAAAAAGATATTG